GTGAGGAAGGATCAGAGAGAGTGAAGAGTGTCTCTGGAGGGGCAGGGTTTGAGAGAGGAATTGGAGCAAGTGAGGGGCGAGCGGGGAGTGAGAGCGTGTCTCTGGAGGAGAGATTGAGAAGTGTCTTGAGGGGTTAGCGAGTGAGGGGTTAGGGAGCGAGGGGTGTCCCGGGGGTGCGGACGGTGAGCGAGGGGTGTCCCGGGGGTGCGGACGGTGAGCGAGGGGTGTCCCGGGGGTGCGGACGGAGAGCGAGGGGCGTGCAGGGGGTGCGGACGGGGAGCGAGGGGTGTCCCGGGGGTGCGGACGGGGAGCGAGGGGTGTCCCGGGGGTGCGGACGGGGAGCGAGGGGTGTCCCGGGGGTGCGGCCAGGGAATGATGGGCCTAGTTGGGATCAGTCTCGGGTTCCTTGTTGGGATCCTCCCTGCTGTGCTGGCCATGAAGCTGGAGGATACCTTTCGGAGCACCATGCCCACCAACAACCTGCTAGTGGTGGGGAGCTCACAGCAAGGCCAGGGCCTGGACCCCCAGCCCCAGGTGTACGTGGGGGCTGTCAATGCAGTGTACCAGCTGGGTCCGGGCCTGAGGCTGGAGGCCCGGGTGAAGACGGGGCCTGTGAAGGACAGTGCTTTGTGCCATGCCTCACAGCTGCCCCAGAATAACTGCGAGCACCCCCGCAGATGGACAGACAACTACAACAAGCTGCTGGAGGCTGACCGTGCCCAGGGTCTGCTGGTGGTCTGTGGATCCGTTCACCAGGGCTTCTGCCAGCTCCGGGCCCTGGCTAACATCAGTCGCTTAGCAGTGCAGTTCCCACCGGCAGCTGGCACGGACCTGGTCTTCCCCAGCATGCTGTACGTGGCTGCCAACCACCCTGAGGCCTCCACCGTGGGATTGGTGCTCCGAGGCCCAGGGACGGGGTCAGACCCTGGGAGTCGATTACTGGTGGCCACCACCTACACGGGCCTGGGCACCCGCTACTTCCCGACCAACAACAGCCGCGAGGACCTGCGGTTTGAGAACACACCTGAGATCGCCATCCGTGCCCTGGACACGGGCCGTCTCTCGCGCCTCTTCACCTACGACATCAACCCGTCCGAGGACAATGTCTTTAAGATCAAGTTCGAGGCCAAGGCCAGGAACCGGCTGAGTTTCGTCAGGGCCTTCGGCCACGGGGCCTACACCTATCTCGCCCTCAACAACGACGCCAACTCGGGCAGCAAGGGCGGGCGCCCCCGTAGCCTGCTGGCCCGCATCTGCACCGGGGCCCGGGGCCCAAGAGGGACCGAGAGCCGCAAACTGACCGAGTCGTACATCCAGCTGGGCCTGCAGTGCAGCTCGGGCCTCAGGCTTTACAGCCGCCTGGTATCGGTGTGGGCCGGGCCTGCCCAGAGCCTGTATGGCCTGTTCGAGAGGCCCGAAGCCGGGAGGGGGGACACGGCCCTCTGCCTGTTTGGCTTCCCGGACATCGAGCAGCGAATCCGCGGGGCCAGGAGAAAGTGCTTCGAGGAGGATCACAGCCAGGAGGTGACGGTGCTGGACAGTGTGATCCAGGGGAGCGGACCAGCCTGCGTTCGCCGCAACATCACGGTGAGCGGGGCCCGGCAGGGCGAGGGTCGGATGGGGGTTTGGGAGGTGTGAGCAGTGTGCTTTGAGTTAAGGGGGTGAGGGGCAGAGGGACTGAGGGAAAGGAGGCAGAAGGAAAAGGCAAAGGAAAAGGGGGAGGAAAGAAAGAGGAGGGGACCAGGCCTAGAGTTGGGCTTTAATGTGAGGTAACGAGGGTAGACCAGGAGTGGAGCAGTCATGGAGGGAGAGGGGCAGCAGGGAAGCTGTGGGGAAGTGGTACTTGGAGGGAGGGAGTGGGGGGGTGTGCGGAGGGGAATGGGTGTTTGGGCTGGGGGCAGTGGGGAGGATGAAGTGAATATAAATGCTGCACTCACTGTGTCCAGGCAAATACTACTTGCTACTGAAAAGCACAAACATCTGAAGTTGTGCAAGAATGCACTTCAACTTTGTCGAACCTTGTGGGTATGAGTAATGCACACATCTCCCAGAAGCATGACTCACGAGCATTCACTCATTGTAAAATCTTCAAACAGAGGGGGATACAGAAACGTAGAGAGAGATATTGGGGGAGACAGGACAATTAGTTTGGGATTGATACAGGGCAATGGGGATAGTGCAGTGCAGTGGGATTAATTTAGGGATTGATTCAGGGCTATGGGGAGAGTGCAGGGCAGTGAGATTAGGTTGGGGATTGATACAGGGCTATGGGGAGAGAGGGGGGCAGTGGGATTAGTTTGGGGATTGATACAGGGCTGTGGGGAGAGTATGGGGCAGTGGGATTAGTTTGGGGATTGATACAGGG